GGACCACAGTAGGTAGAGGACCTCGGCGGATGCTGATGACTGCGAAGAATCTGGGAAGTGTAGAACTTCTCTTTGGTGTCACTCCCGAGTCGATGTAGGAGGTGAAGAACGTCCGAAGTCTTAAGAAGGTGAGGATCCAAAATGCATTCTTGAGTATGTCGGCGTTCAAGACGACGGTGGTGTCGATGAAGGCGTGTCATCCCAATAGGACCGTGGCGAGTGGTAGGGATGTTGTATTGAGGGCGATGGAGTCCGCGTCGACGAAGGAGCGGGTTGATCCAAGGATGATTGAGTTGAGGGCGATAATGCTGTTGACAAGAAATCTCAGTGGATCGAGTGGTCAAAGTGTCCGACGTGAACTGGAGGGGAATGACAGCACGTTGAAAAAGGGCGCGAGTCCGCTTCCAGTAGCGGAGAGCAGGTTCGTAGTAAGCAGTGGTACCGCTACAGAGTTGACGATATTCGCGTTTGCGGGACATCTCGCGATCGAAAAGGGAAAGGATGCTGCTGCCAATTTCAATGTAGTAGGATGGAAGCGAAGGTAGACGACGTTGGGTTGAAAGTAGTCCTGAAAATAAAGTTGTTGATGAGGTCGAAGTCGATGCAACAAGGCAGAAAACTGGTTCGACGAGCACCTGCGGGAAGGGTGCGAAAAAGGATGAGGCGGCAAAGTTGACCTTTCAGAAAGACCAGGGGGCGAAGCTCCAAATAAGTAAGTTCACAATGAGCGTCCACAAGGGTGAAGAATTGTAAGAAAAGACGAAGAGCACGAACAGGAATGGATGTTGAACGAGTGGGGAGCAGCTTTGAGAAATGGTCGTGGTCAACAAATGCCGCGGGGCAGTGATGGAGGAACCATCAGGCGACCAGGACATTGGCCGTGGCCAACATGCGAATCAGAGCAGCGCTCTGGGCAAGTTTGGGATCCCATCCCCAGGCAATGGTCAGGCGGCTTAAGTTGGGAAGGTCGAGTTTGTCGGCCTTGAGAGTGGTGATGATGGAGTCAATCTCTTTGGCGATGTCCTCCAGTTTGGTCAAGCGAGCCTTGTCCTTGATGTTGGTTCGGATCCACTTGTCGATCTCAGTCTTGGTGGCCTTCATTGGCGCGTTGTCTTCCAATACTGGTCGATGAGCGCCGACAATGTAGGCATGGAGGGGGTCAGCAGGAGCAGGGGTCGAAGTAGACTTCTCCGGATCCACGGGTGAGGCTTTGAAGTGACTGTCCAAAGTGCGTCCCGAGCGAGGCGGAGCCGGTGCGGTAACACGAGGTTTGGACTTGTCAATGCGAAGGCGTTCACGATCAGCTGGAGTTTCCGGATCAGTGGGACTCTTGACCGGGGAAGGAGGATGACCTGTGGCGGCCTTGAGCTTCTCGTTCTCCTTGAGAAGTTGTTCGACTTGGTCCTGAAGGGCTTCCGTAGTGTTCTTGGGCATCTGATCCCGGAGAAAATCAAAGACACGGTCGGCGAGACGATCCAAGCCCTTTCGCTTCTCATCCCAGTCATCCTTGAGGGAAGCAGGGTGAAGGTGGCCGATGATGCGGGCGACGTCGACATCGGAGCTCTTGAAAATCTTCCGGGAAAGAGAGGACCAAAGGTATAGGCCTCTTGACGATTTCGGAATCCCTCGAACTGGACCAATCGGCCATTGGCGACAAGGCGTAAAGTCCAGTTCTCCTGTTTGCGACTGAGCACGTCAATAAGGCGTACATCCTCACAATGGGACGATGATCAATCTGAAGTTCACGACTCCAAGCAGTTGCGATGACCCGACGAGGAAAAGTCAATTTGTATTCTTGCTGTCGATCAAGGTAAATGTCACCGGGAGTCCAAGCTTTGGGTAGAGTGTATCGAGCCTTGAAAGTGTTGGAAGAGGAAGGAGTCTCAACCGGTAGGCCTGTGGATTTCCTACGTGGAGAGCGAGAACGACGGGAAGTGCGACGATCACGTTTTCCTCGGCGGCGATGAGGTTCAGGGGAGCTGCTCGTAGAACGTCCGCGGGCCATGGTGAGCCGAGGTCGAAGTCAAGAAAATGTGGGGACGCGGGGGCCAAAAATTCACAAACTGAGAGCTGAAGATTGAAGGCGGCGGAACGGTTGAAATGCGAACGAGAGAAGAAAAAAGTGAAAACTGACACAGAAAGGAGGAAAGGTGCACTTTTTAGATGCTTCACATTGATCTGAGAGCAAAAAGGTACAGTAAATATCGAAATTCTTCTGCCTGTTGCTGAAATTGGAGACGTAGTTGTCGAAGTTCTTCTGCCTCTGGATTGGGGAGAGCGCTGGTGTGCGGAGGGGGTGCAGTGGGCGATGGGTGAAATGCTTGAGGTGGAGTAGTGGGGCGTGAGATGGGAGTGGAAGAATTTGGCCAGTGAGTGTGGATGGTCGCCGGGACCGGGTCGTAGGACAAGCCCGGGAGTTGTGGAAGAGGCTCTGTCGGAGGCGGGCCGGGCCGAACTCGCGGCGAAGATCCGGAGCCTCGGAGGAATGTCGACGCCGTGAGTGCGATCGACGGTCGCGATCGTGCCGAGTCTCCCATCGCGAGGCAGACCGGCGTTGGTGGGATCTGGTAGAGCGCGAACGTCGCCGATCATAAAGCCTGGCCAATGGAGAGCGCTCAGTGCGAGGGGCTCGGTGGTCTCGGGAGGATTGTTGATGTGAAAGAGGTTGTCTGGGGCGAGGTCGGGGAGCGTAGGGGTTGGAGGGGGGTGGGCCTGTTGCACGAGGTTGGGACGGAGGTTGAGAAAGTGGATTCCTGGGTTGGGGTGCTGCCAAGCGTGGGGGGGGAAAGAAATTGCTGGTGAGGTGTGTGGGCGGTGAGGGTGGAAACTGAGGGGGAGTGGTAGTCCAGGGACGAGAGATGGGAATGGGACGAGAGACCGATGGAGGGTGTGTGTGCAAGGGACGTAGTGGAGGTCGGTGTAGAAGGTACTTCAGAACGATAGGAATGATGAGGTCGGCCTGCAAAGACGGGGATGCCGTGAACGGTAGTAATCGAAGAGGTAGTGGAAAGAGGTAAGCGGTCGCCAAAGTCCGTGCGACCCTGAAGTTCAGCTTCAAGTTGTTCTGGACTGTGGTGCACAATATGTAAGAGACCCAAGGCGGTGAGGAGCTCGTGGGTGTAGTGAATGGCGGTGTATTGACCCGGAGTGCAAGTAGTAGTGTGTTGTCAAGACCTTCGAGTTGTGCGCGGAGGTGTGGATGGGTCACCCGATCGAGAAGTGGAGTGGAGCGAAGAGCAAGAGGTTGGTGGAGAATAGTATGGATGTGGGCCAAGGAAGCATGTACATGAAGAAGTTCCCGATGTAGAACTGCTTGCGCAACGATAGATATACCTGGAGTCGGAGCGAGGCCACAAGGCGGAGAGGGCGTGCCGGACATGGCTTAAGGCAGGGTAGGATGATCGAATCGGATCGGATCGAACGGATTGCTCAGAGCCAAGGAGGTAAGACAAAGAAATCAACCTGTGACATGATTGAATGTGGAAGCGACTAAAGAAGTGAGGAAGTGAGGATAAGTCAACTTTTTATTCGAACGCCGGGTGGGAGGTGTGTGAGACCTACCGTGGTCGTGGACGAGAGCGGGAGCGAAAGCGCGTCGTCCTCGTCAATGTCGAAGCTTGATGTAGTACTGAAGGATAGGAGTGAGTGGTCGGAGTAGGAGGATGTGGTCCAGTGGTAGTTGTCGAAGTGGGCGTCGGAGGAACCGGCAAGGGAGAGGGTGGAGAAAGGATCAAACGTGGCAGGAGGGAGGAAGGAGAAGGAGGCGAAACTGGTGTATCCAAAGAGGTGGTCTGGTCGCGGAGCTGGGCAGTCAATCGAGTGTGTCCTCGGTCGAAGTGAGTAAGATGTAGTAAGCCCAAAGCATTGAAGAGTTGGTCCGTGTAAACAAGAGTATAGGTGGCTCGTTTGATCTGATCAATACTGGCGTCCAGCCCACGAAGGTGAGCAAGAAGACGAGGACAAGTGATGGTATCCGCGAGGGCAGGAGCCAATGTGTCCCAGGGTCCTCGTAGAATCGTGAGGATCAGCTGCAAAGAAGAGTGCATATGAAAAAGTTCCCGGTGTAGTACGGCGTGAGCTGCAACAGGTAGTCCTTCAACTCGCGCAAGTCCTGCAGGAGGAGAGAGTGATGTCGAAGTCGAAGAAGACATGGCGGCGAGGCGGCGGCGAACGAAAGAGGATGAGGGCGTGGAGAATAAACCATGAGAGACAAGCTAGAGCCAAAGAGAGAAAACAAACGAAAAGGAAAAGTGCACTGCCAAGGTGTAAACATGTGAACCGAAAAGGGAAGAGAAACCGTAGCTTATTTTCAAGCGGTCCAGTCGAGGTGGAAGAGTGAAACTAGGTATCCCTCGGATTCGAGCGAGGACGCCAAGGGCTGCCACCTCTGACCGCTGCGGTCACGTAAGGGCATGAGCCAACTTAGAATTCCAAAAATGAGACAAACATCCCACTTCTTGTGGCGTAAGCCATCTGCTGTCCGCTCCGGACACTTACATCTCCGGGCAGGGGAGATAATGACAAACCCCCGTTCGACGGGTCCACGGGAGGCACTCTGCGGGCTCATCCCGGGTTGGCACGAAGCCAAACACACTTAGGATAGGGTGTACTGAACTGATAGCGGTGCCACACGCCAGCCTAGGGCTCCATTTCCTAAGAGTGTCAGTAGGAAGCCATCGAATCCTGGGGGTCTTCAAAAGGAAAGGTGGCCCAAAGCGTAAGAACGAGGTCGGCGATCAGGTCGAAGTGATGGCGTTCCGTGCATGTCTGCAGAAGGTCAAGCGCAACTCAGCAAATGTCAAAAATCAAGCAGGTACACAATGCGGCGTCCCGCATTGCTTCACGACCGATCTATCACTGTCTTCGTTGGGCAGTGAGTGATAGTGGTCCACTGCCCCCCTGCTCAAAAGAAAAAACAATCCAACGGGATTGCTGTGATTACAAGGGGCACACACACACACACCTGTCCGCGATCACGCTCGCCCGCACACACATGTGGCCTCTTCTTTGCGGCAGGCAACTTTGGCTCTGCGAGGTACTCCACTCCAATCTAGCGGCAAGTGTATCCCAAGGCACCCCAAAATGAACGCATCCCGCCCATCTTGCTGACTCACCCTTTCGATGCGAGTCATTTTGTTTCATTCAGCCTACATACAACACAACGAGTCAATCCGCATTCTCATCGGGTACGGACGACTACCTGTACGCATCCGCACACATCCTTTTGAAGAAAGACTGCACTGAACCACTATCACTATCGACAATGAGCCAAGGCTTGGCACCTCATCAGGGTCCGCTTCTTCAAGGAAAAGTCCTCCCTGTGCTTCGAACTCCTTCAAAACATTGTGTCAGCCCGAAAAGCACGCCCAAAACATGCGATAAATGACACCCTCGAGCAGCTGTTATGACACTTTCATCACACTTCACAAAACACACATTCCGTGATTAAGGAGCTTGCCTTCATCATGTCTAAGTCCAGCTCTACGGACTTCCAACCTGCTCTTGACTTCTTTCTTTGTTCGTGTGCAAGACTCGGACGGTTTCATTCGCCACATATAATTTCATTGTGCGCGTCTGCAAAATGGCCTTTTCTCCTGAAAGCAGGACTCTGTCCCTCCTGCCAAACACCAGCATGGCAAGTGTGCCACCATCATCAAACCGTTTTCTGAAAACAAAACTGCTGCGCTTGTCTCAAACCTGGGGCAAGCCATCAGCTGACGCCTTTGAAGCACCTGTCAAAGCAGCACCAGTTTTAATGTTTGGCTGTATCCCCATAGATTAAAAAGTCCCAGTTTGGTTGACAATGCCTGTGAATCGTATCTTAACATGTGCAATGACAAGAGAAACCAACACGATTCAAAACTGAGCTCCAAACGTCGTCTCTTTTTGGGCATGGCGACCAAAGAGGCGTTTCAAAAGGTGTTTCAAAAAATTGGTTGACTTTTGTTCGTGATTTAATGGCCAAAGGGAAAAACACATCAAAAAATACAAACAAATCCGCGCGCAGTGAGAAGGACTTTGGATTCAGCATGTCCACAGTTGGACGAGTCTGGCATTTCAACAGTCTAGTTTCAACCATCAGGTTCGTTTGATTGGAGAGCCTGAAAAACTTGCTAAACTGCCTCTCAAAGCTCAGAGTCTATTGCAATCATGTTTCTTGGGAGTTGCTTGGAAAATGTCATACTCTCCCATCCTTTTATTGGCTTGACTAAATCATCCGAGCTTGCCCAGGTGATGCAATAAACAAGGTTGCATCGGTTGCTTTGCGTGTCCCTATAGCAAGTTATATAAAAACCATGTGCAGAGTCGGTTCTAGATGTTTATGATTGCCATCTTGAGCTCGAAAGGCCTAGCCACTTAAGACATGTTCTTCCAAACACAAGTTGAAAAGCTACGGAAACACTGGCACCTTGTGTTGGCATCAATATGGCATCAGTCTTCCAGACCAGGCCACAATGGAGCAAACCTTTTTGCAAGGAATGTGGAGCAAAGCAGCTCCTCTCACTCCACCGGCTCCAACCATCGGTCAAATTCCTCATTCAGCCAATCACTGTACGGCCTGTGAAGAGTTTTAAAGTCTTGCCAGCAAGAGACTTCATCCGCTCGCTCAGGACTGGACCAGATTGTGATCTTCAAGTCAAGCTTTCCACTTTGCTCGAAATATGAGGGCAAGTCACATTTGGAAATAAAGCCTTCGAGCGGGGGCCACAAATAGCGGCCGGAGATTGAAAGTCGATGGTTACAACCTCCAGCCATTGGTTTCTTGATTACCTGCAAATCAACATTCTTAAAGGTTTTCTTGCCAGGCTCAGTGACCAAATCCACCACAACTTCACTGGCACGGATCTTTGGCGCCCGCTTTTGAATCGGACGTGTCGATTTCGTCTTGTTTATGGCCTGACACTTGGAAACAGCTGAAGCCTGTAAAGTTCCACAGGCGTCATAGCACATACAACTGCATGCGCTCTTTGCGAGCAAATCTTGGAATCGCTTCAGTCTGATGCTTGCAGTGGTCTTCCACTGGATCTTCACATGCAGCACTAGCCAATTTTTCCACAAGCCCTTCACCAGGGAATCCTTGACAACATCATGAATGGCCAAGGCGGTAAGGTCTTTCACACCCAATCTTTGCAAGTGTTCATCCTTCAATCCACCCAAAGCTCCAGGTGAGCAGAACTTGGTTTCATAGATATCCTGCAGGTTGAGCACCACTTGCGACAGAGAGCGTTTATCCTGTAAGTGTTCAGGCTGTTGTAAACGCGAATCTCGGATCTGAAGCCTGAGGAGTGACACGAAGAGGACCTTTTCCTCGGATGTGCCCAAGAAATGCCAAATGGATTATAGGAAATCGGTGATTCTGTTTTAGGAACCGTATGGGGAATTCAGCTGTGGAAATAAATCTGACAGAAGATTGAAAAATACGTCGACCTTTGATGCCAACTCTTTATATAAATATACATAATACAAACAGCCAGGTCATGCCAGATTTCCCAGTGTAGCCTGGTGCTGGTCCAATTGACCTTCCTTTCACCCTTCAGCGCTTGTAGGATCTCGGGCCAAGAGGAGACAAGGCCGGCCTCATGACTCACATTGGTCAAAAGCCAAAGCTCGCTCCACTGAAGTGCATCCTCGGCAGGTTTCAAGCCATCAAACTCGGAGCTCACCAACTCCTGAACAGCAAGTGGTGAGAGACTCCTTCTTCTTCATGTTGCTTTCTTCACTTATCTCAGTTGTTTGAAAGTAGCCCGGTTCTGGCCAACTAAGCATTGTGCGCTGGTCTGAATTGGACATCTATGTGCGGTATCTGCCACCTGCCACCTGTTGGATCTCTATGCCTTTCAAAGGGATCTTCTTCACCTGTGTGACACATCCAAGGATGAGCAAGAAGTAAGCAGCTTGGCCCTTGAATGAAAAAAGGCAAAATACCACCGATCTGAAGAGTGCAGGCACTCCCCCAAGTGTGAGCAACCAATGTTAGTCCACCTGGCACCAGTTGTGTTCCCTTTGTCATGTTTCGAGGAGCCCAGAAAGCCCAACAACAACAACAACAACAGCAAGAGAAAGAGCAAGAGCACGTACAAGTACAAGTACAAATGCAACACAAGCAAAAAAGGCTCCTTGAGCAAGATGATAAATAGTAGTTAAGTGCAACAAAATCATGAAAGGCGTTGAAAAACAGACATGAAAAGTGCGCCCCTCGAAACCCACTCCTGCCACATCTCTTCAAAATGATCAATGTTCTTCAAGTGATCTTTCTTTGCCAACAGCCGCAAAGGTGCAACTTTTTGTTCAGCGCCTTGCTGCGCCGCTGTCACGTCCTCCGAGTCAAAGAATCCCTTGCCACCCAGGGAGTCTGGATCCATGCACTTGAGATCCGCTGCGCAATACGCTGCCACATAGGGCAGCACATCGACACAGGAGCGAGTGTACATCGGCTCATCCAACATTATTTGACCATGTGACTTCAGGGCAGCAGCCCAAATCTTGTCCGAGAAGACAGGCAGTTTGTCCTTTCCCATGTCCTCCGAATCAACCCGATTGGCTGTTAAAGCACATTGAAGCTCCGTAAATCGTTCTGATTCACTGGCACTGTTATTCTCCAAAATGAATTTCATGTCTGCTTCACCGAGCTTGTCCAAACCCTTTTCCAAGCAGCTGCCAGTGGAAGAGCACCGGAGAGAGTTCATGAGTTCGTCGTACTTGTAGCCAAGGTCGATCGAACCAAAGGTTCCTTCAGCATTGTGCATCAAGGGCCACCATTTTTCACTCAAGGCCTTCTCCATAAGTCGCTGATAGGTTCGGGCTGTGCAGGCCATGAAAGGCTCTTCATGCGTGCAGCCATCCAAGTAGGGCTGCCGGTGCTGGTCCAGGGCCTGCAAACACCGATCGACACTGCCCAAATGTTCAAATCCCCTAGGCAAGGCCGACAAGCTGACTGCCGGAATCAACGCATAGAGTGCACCAGCAAAGTTCAGTAAGACAGCACTCGTGATAGCTGCAGCAATGTTTGGGAAAGACACCGACAAAGAAATCAACAACGTTGCAGTGCTTGTTTGGATTGCTTCACGGCAATCATGACTCTGAAGTATTCCTGGCATCTGCATTTCAGCCATCTGCTGGACTCTTTGAGTCTGCGAGATGAAGTCTATCTTCGCACGTTGAAGCAGTTCCTTTTCCTGCTGATCTGCTTCTGCAACATGTCTTTCCAGAAGGGAAAGATGATGTTCTGCCTCTTCGGGAGACTTGTCAGACAAGTGCTCTCTCAACGCCTTTTCAACCATCTTTTCATGATAGCCTTCTTTTTCGGTTTCCCAGCCTTTCTGAGTCTCACTCTCGTAGGTTTCTGCCAGTGAACCGGCCGATTCGTCAACAGGAAAGAACGAGTCAAAGCGTTCTTGCATCTGCTCCCGAACAAACTCCGGTGCATAGCCGTAGCCGAAAACGCTACGTTTCACATCCTTGAGCCATCCAATGACCTTCTGCACCGCTGCCTTGATCTTCTTCCACAAAGCTCGCACCTTGCCGAATGCAGCGCAAAGGGTGCATCGGCCGCACACGGCCATTTGTCGGAAAAAGGCGGCAGGAACACCGAGATAAGTAGCTCTCAAAGTCGTAGACTTTGTTTGATCTTGGCATTTCTGTTTGTCGCTGTCACTCAAATCCTCGGAGAAGTCACAATCTTCTTCCAAGGCGGCGTCCACGTCGCCCCCCGTCTCCCATGGGATCGACTTTTTTGGCGCACAATAATAACTGACACTGAATCCAGGTATGGGGACTGGTGGGAAAATTCCCCAAGAGATGGCAAGGCTACGATCAACATCTACCAACCCACAAGCGCGGCAACTCTGCGAATTGTTCGACTGTAGTTTGGTTCGTTCGAGTCGCCGGGCAAAAGCACTCCCCAAAATGATGGTCAGCAACAGCTTCAACGCGATCATCTCGAGAAGTTCCAAGCCGGTGATGAAATATGTATTGAGATTGGTCAAAGCAATGAATTTAGCGTGGGTCTGAGCCCAAGTGGCGACTGGGAACACAGAATCACCAAGTGCCGGAAAAACAGTGACACAATTGCAAAGCCAAATGAGTTGTTAGTCAGTCATTCATATGTTTTCTAATGACACCTCTCCTGCACTGAGCCTACCCACAAGGCCAGCATCTGGGTTCAATTAATTTGGGCCATCTGGGTGGAACTTCGGGAGCCTCGAGTGAAAAATTACAGTCCATTGCGTGATTGCCACAGTGCATCCGATTTCCGTGTCGGTTGACGGATTGATACACCACATTTTCACCGATCAACACATCGATGATCGTGAGCAAAACAGTTTTGCCTTTCCCTCTCCTACTTTCGTGTTTGCACCACACATTCATTTGCAGCGCCATTGTTTCCTTTTGGGTTGATTTTCGTGTGAGGAATGATGCCTGCTGAATCCACATTGGAACGGGTCCATTAAGGGCGCTTTGGGAACGTGCATCGCTCTTTATGCGTGAACCTATTTTTCCTCTCAGCCTCTCGGGGCGTGCGTTGAGGTCAGGTCTCGCATCGCTAGAGAAAAGAAGGAGGTAAATGAAGAAGTGAAACAGAAGGTGAAGCCAAGACCAAGTGAAGCTTAAAGTGACACATATGGCGGCCAGCTTTCAGTGCTTGAGTGGAACGTGGCTGAAAGTTTCATTGAAAACCCACTGACAGTCGAAATATGTTTGCTGCAACATCTTGGCAACCAGTTGAAACAGGAAGGAAAGCAAAACCACGGCCGATGTGGCCCGTGTCAACCCGATGCAGCCGCAGAATGTGCGTCAATGCTCGTTTGGTGTCTCATTTATGAATTCACAAGAAACTCCTCACAAAGCTCGGGCTTTCTTTTCACGCGGGGGATGTCACGGTCATTTCCCCCCCTTTGGTTTCCGTGGCATCGCAAGCACTTCCTAACGAACTCCTTGAGGTCAGCGAACTGACTGGAAGCTAGTGAAGATCTGTCATGTTCAGTCAAAAGCAAAGCGTGTTCACACTGCCTAGAAGGAAAGTCGCTAATATTAGCTTCGGTCGGAACTCTTGCGAACCAGGCCTTAGTATTGCAAGCGGCTTCGATTTCAAGGTGATATTGTATTAGCGCTTCGGCCCATGGTCCCGTTCCACAAGCTCGAATGAGTGCAAAGCGAACACTGTCGTTGTCGCCAAACCACACGGTCAGGTTGTGTCGGAGCCTTTGTCTCCAGTAAGCGAATGCAAGAACGGCTGCGGCGAGTTCAAGCTCGTAGATGATCGTTTCTTTCGAGCTGGCGCCAAAAAGTTTGCATTCATCAGAGCTCAAAGCAATGCCAAACCATTCAACAACATTGGCCTGGTCATCCACAAGCACCGCCCCCAGCCCACCTGTCTTGGTGTCAGAAGCGTAAGCAGCATCAGTGTATACATACCACTGCGCCAGCTCTCCGTCGCTGACATGCATGGGTTGGTCACTTTCAAGGCGAGCTTTCATTGCGAGCAAAGCCAGTTTTGTGTCCGCCTCAAGCTCCTTGCGTCTCGAATAAGCATGCTCTATCAACTTCTTCAAGGTCAGTTTCCCCAGCCGCCCATGTATGAAGCTGTCGGCGAAGCCCAGCCTGCCCCGGAGCACCAAAGCTTCCTGCTTCGTCAGACTGCCTCTTTGCACAGCACCAGATATGGCTGCGACGAGATCTTGTTTTCGCTGTGTTGTGTTCGAGACAAGCATGAGGTGTTGTTCCGACTTGCTGAAGTCAAACTCAACCCCAAGCGCTTGGCACACGCTGGAAAAGGTAGTTGCCTTCTTCCCTTCTTTTGCATACTGCCACCCGGTCAGCAGGAAGAGCAGCTCCATGCTTTGGTCAGCGGAGACTGCACTGGCCGGTCGAGACAACATCACAAAATCATCATAGAAGTTGGTGTTGACCAGATAGAGCCCTCTTGCCGCCAACGAATGCAGCATCCGAGCCAGGCGGAGGAAGCAGTAAACTGAGTGCGTAGCCCCAAAGGGCAACGTGACCAGCTGGTAGATCTCTGCACAACCTTTGATGTGGTTGTACACGCTGAAGTAGGCGTACTTCAAGTGTTCTGCGTGTATGGGGACCTGCCGATAAGCACTTTTGAGGTCGAATGTCTTGCCAACCAATGTACTGTCACGACCCCTGTTCTTGCAGCTGCGAAAGTACTTCCGGACTGTTGCGCCCAGGGTGTCGATCATGTGGAGATCGATTTTGCAATGCGTCACACAGGAGTCGTTGACCCCACTGATGGAGAAGTCGTCGATCATTCTTGTCTTGTTCGACTGAGCGAGGGGAAACCTTCTCGAGATCACAGCACCTGCTGGCAGTTCATGGAGTTTATATGGGCCTCTGGCCCAGCCCTTTGCAAGCTCCTCTTGAGTCTCTGACAGCACGCGTTGATCCAGGTCAGCATCCCCAGATGAAGTCGTCATAGCAAGAACGGCCTGGTTCCTTCTGTTTGCTCCGTATTCAAGCTGCTCAACTGTCATCAAACATGGCTTGAACTGTTGCTCAAAAATTCCACACTTTTCAATTTCACCTGCCAAAGTTGCTCCCGTCCTCAAAAACTTTAGGGCATCGATGCTTTCCAGCATCTCTTGAGTCAAAAGCAACCTTTTGCCAGCAGTGTTTTTCTGAACATGGTCGGGTCTTTGAGCACGATCTAGCATTTCTTGCGCTTCCAGTTCACTTGCTCTTTTGAGCCATTGTTTGCACCAATCCATCCTATACTTCACGAGTTGCTGATCTGTCCACACCGTGTGTCTCTCGAGCGCAATGTCAAGATCTTCTGGAATGCCCATGTCTATCAAGGCAGGATGTCCCAGCTTGCAAGCTTTCTTGAGAAAATTTTCAGGTGTCCATGGCAGACCAAAAACAGCAGTGAAAGGAAAATGAGCCTCGCGCACCTCCAACACCTCAGAATCTTGGCTACCCCCCCTTGATCGGGATTCGGAGGAGTTGAAAAACCGGAGAAGACGTGCTTTGCTAGGAATTTCAAGAGGCAGCAAACTGGGCGAGGTCAAAGACAAAGGCCTATCTATCTTCGAAAGAACGGAAAAGGGCACATCCGAGGCTGACGCAACAAGGGCGGTTGCCACGGCATCAAACTCTGGCACCATAGGTGGAATCTTTTTGCGGAAAGGTTGGCCTCCGACAGAAATGCTCGCCTGTTGTGGGTGGAGCAGCGGATGTGAAGCGATGTCTTGAATGCTTTCTGGCAACAAATGAAGACCTAAGTCCTGAGCCACCTTCAACACTATCTGACTCACAGCAATACACAACTTTCTTGGGTATTGACTTTCTAAGCTTGTAGCCCACACTCTCTTTCCATCGGGACCGGTGGCAAACCGCCAAGGAGCGTGGTCATGTTTGTTGTCACACTCGATGGACAGCTCAGTGATGGAGGGAAAATTGGCGACAAAGCGCGTCCACTTAGCCCGAGAACCTCCGTACATGCATACCTGAAAATCTGCACAATAGATTTCAACGCTCCTCCAAAGTGAAATGAAGAAACTTGTAGACCAAAAATACGAATTCGAAGGGTTTTCCATGGTGACCAAAATTCCTTTTCGGGTGGCCTTCTGGAACAATTCACATGCAAAGTCAAACAACTGATTGGCGATCTGAACTCTGCGCAACTCACTTCCAGCGAGGTCTGGCAACCCGTCAGGATGTTCACGACTGCGCAAAGGTCGTGGGTCTGTAGGAAGCAAACGAATCTCCCGAGCCCGGGACGCCGTGCCGCAAACCGGTGCAAGGTGTATCCAAAGCAACATGTCAGAGTCCAGCCACTTGTCAAGAACAGACCTATCGACATCACGTGTCAGATCAAGTTTGATGACACTGGATCGGGCCCCGGGCTTTTGAACTTTGTCCACAGCCAGGCTGCTTTGCATACCATATTGCTTTGCAATGCTGCACAGGATTGCTGAGCCAGCAAAAACTTCTAACATCCAAACCTGCCCCACGTGAATGCTGGCCCAATTCCGTGGAGCGTGTATCTGCCTGAGTCACTTTGACCCATGCTCATGGAGAGCGTGGGCCTGCTGGCACCTGGGTTCGGCACAAACGTGGAGGCCTCGCCGGCATCGATCTCCGGGCTTCACGCCCTTCTCACTGCACCCTGCAGTCGTGTTGTATGCGAAACAAATTGGATCGCCGCTGGAATTCTTGCGCCATTTGCCATGGAGCTCCTTTGGCATTGCTGGTGAGCCTCTGGGGCCTTTACCAAAGCCTTTCTTACCCTTTCCTCCTTTGCCTTTCCCTCCTTTCTCATGCTGTGGCTGGCTGTATGGGCTTGCACGCCTGTTCCATGTGTCACCGGAGGCATTCGAAACACGAGCGACCGGGGCCAAATACAAAACAATGTAAGGATCACTTCGCAGGTCAAGCAAAGCCTTCCCAAAAGGGTAACTGCCGTCCTCAGCCTGCCTGATGCTTTGAAGGGAACTGGCCAACCTTGCCCACGCTGCTCTATCACATTGAATCAGTTGCGCAAGCGCAGGCTTGCTGTACCCCGGCGGCGGGTCTCGGTGGATGGCATCAAACAAGAACGAAGTCCACTCCATGTGTTGAGAATGACTCATGATTCGAGCAAATTGTAGAGCAATGCCTCTCCGCATCATTGCATTGCTGAATTTGATCTCGCTGTCGGTTGGACTGTGCAAGTTCTCTTGATGCTTCAACACAAGCGAGCCTTTCTCCAAGCTCAGTTCTCGACTCTGTTTCTGACCTTGAACTTCATGCGTCCTGCTCACACAGGACGCTGGCTCCAAATATGTCACAACGTTCTTTTCATACAAAGCACAAGCTTTGTCAAGCACTAAGTGAGCAGGTTCGAACTCACCCTGAATGTTGATGCCCATGAGCGCTGCCTTAATGCTATTCATGCGTGCATTCCTCTCTGCGAAAGCGATTTTGCGGGGCACGCTGTCATCTGTCTGCTCCAAATTCTGTCTCAGGCTGGCCACCAAATAAGTCTGGCCTTCGAATGCTATTCTCTTGATGGTTGTTGTCTCAAGCAAACTAGGTGGTCTTCCTAAGGCACCTTGCAAAAAGGCACTCACCTCATCATTCGAAAGGGGGGTGTTCGGTTGGCCCACCGCAAACGCCAGCCTCGAGAGTGTGTCAACTCCCGCACCTTTTATGGCGTCAATGGCCCCTTGGCCAATGCCCCCTTCCAGCAGTCTAGCCCCAAAATGGGCAGTACTGTCGACCACCGTCGTCATGCTGCCGGCGCTTTCGAACTAAAGAGAAATTGTATGTAAAAGCATGAAAAGTGAGTAAACGTGTTTCCACACAGCAGATTTCACAGCACGATGGTAGCAAGTGTAAAGAGTCGTTTGGCGTTTGTTTAAAGTGCATAGCTGAAACACAAGTGTCCCTGAACCAATCTATTAGATTACTTACTCATGGTCTTGTCCGGCTCTCTTTCTGCTCCTTTGAGCCAACATGCACTCCGCATGAGTAGTTGACTCTTTGTCAAAGCAGCTTTCTGCTAAATTGCCACTTAGGCACAAAACATTGTTCTTTCTTTGCCACTTAAGCACAAGTTGTCTGCACTTCATAGGCACTTCGCCTCCTTTGTCTCGCTCACTTTGAGTCTCTCCCCTCTAGGGAAGTCAGGCGTCCACTTCGGACCTTCAAAGGATGTTTATCCCTCATCTAACAAAGCACTTTGTGCTCGTGTTGAGCCCTACCCGGGCAGAGCAGATCACACCTCTTCCATCAGTATCTTTGCAAGCTAGGTTCACTCCAAACAAGCCAAAACAACGGATCAAACAGTTCCTGCAGTTTCACGATTTCCGAAAAAGGGGACGTTTAAGGGGAGTCAGCTTCAGTCGAACAACATGCAACTAACCACGTTTCTTCTTCGCCTCACGGACTCGTTCAAGAGCTGAGTCCAAGGCTGCGACAGCATCTGCCCGAGTTCGAATACGGTCGGCGTCCTTTGGAAAACAGTGCAGGCATTTCGGAAACTTAAAATTCATGACACGCCCTAAGTCGCGGTAGTTTGCGTTCAGTTTTTGTTTGCACTTAGTTTGAGAAGCTTCGGCCAACGCACAGTGCACTCGCTGGCTCTTGGAGTGCTTGTAGTACTGCAGCCCTGGAGGAACAAATTCCTCGTAAAGTGCTTTTTTCCCTGCAGCACAATGCAAAGGTGTGTCAACGCTTGAAGAACTGGTATCACTGCTGCTATCGCTTCCAGTCGAGCTATCAATTTCGATCAAGCCTCTTCCTACCAAGTCACTTGAAAGTAATGTGAGTTCCTCGGCAGCTTCGATCAAACCAGTGGCGTTCTCCAGCTCCTCTTTTGCGCTGATTGCATCCTCTTGCATGTTGCAGGACTCCAGAGCTTGGTCAACTGGATCAGTGGTTTGCATTCTAGGAGGGAGTACAGGTGTAGTCGCTTGCACTCCATGCACCCCAACCTGGGGTCCCGGCGTCCTAGGAGCCGGTGTCACCGAAGCCACCTGTCCTTGATCCGCAATCTCCTCAAAGCCCATTCCAATTCGAATCAGGCGCAGCAGCATCTGAAGCTTTCGGATGGGCCTGACCTGCAGTGATCGGGAATAAACAACATCGGACCCTGTCACCGCTCCACAGTGATGGCCCAGCACAGCTCTGACCTCTTTGTCGAGCCCAGCACGAGCGCACCACCCAAGCACGGTGGCCTTCATGGAGTGAGCCCTGAAAGTGTCAGAGTTGCTTGTACCTTTCAACAACTGCCTCAGCCACTTCGACATCTCGGGAGTCGTGAGAGGACGAGCACAAAAACCACCCACAATTTTGGGGGCCGGCAGTAAAGGACCCAAAGGGACTTTTTGTATGTCCAATCCAGCCTGAGCATAGAGGGTCAGAAAAGTCTCAATCCAATTGTCATTTGTAATCCCATCCCAGGGAACCACCAAAGGCAGGAACTGATCCAAGCGATCTCCTATACTGGAAGTCTTGTGCTCGCGTGTGTAAAGAACCAAGCATCCATTGCGCCTTGACTCAACCTCCACATGGTCAATGTACCTCACATCGCTCCAACGAGCCCTGCCGTACACGCAAATGAGCATGCACCCGGCTCCAATCCTGTCGTATATGTTCGCTCCACTCTGCAACACTGCATGCAAACGGTGTATGTGTTCGACTTCCATAGCAGGAGCTTGTTTCAACGGGCCCTTCTCTCGCTTTTCTAATGCTGCTAGACCCAATAACCGTTTCGATTCGAGGACCTCCGAGGCACCTGCCAGATCAATCGTGAACTTGCAGAACCTCACAGTCTCAAGGAAAGTAGCAGGCGCAGTAAAGCCCTTGCCTCCAGCCAATCTGGATTCCTTCAAGAACTTGAAGAAGTCCCAGACGTCAGGTTCACGCAAAGGGAATACATTCACACCATCAACAGCAGTTCCATAGAAAGATCTGTGCCAAACAATGTACCGCTTCAGAACACTTGCTCTCTTCAAAAGGGTTGAGTGGCTCTTGGTGCCAAACGATGCCTTGAGGGTCTCCTCAGCGTCTCTACCTGACGGATCACTGCGAAGGTCCTGACAGACTTGAGTTCCTACGGAAGAAGCCTCCCAGTCAATTGCAATGATGTCCATCCATTTTGAGCACGCCAAATCTGTTTGCAACTTCTTCTGTTCAATGTAGTCTAAATCTCTTAGATCACTTACAGCATGGAGGTATGCAGCATCAATGCATTCACCTATTTCACCTCCAAGACTCTGTATCGGGTCCAGCTGCTCTGCAATCTCAGGTGTCTCAAAAGCTACTCCGTGGATCTTTGGAAAACTGAGCGCCGAGCTTTCGACAAATAGCCCTTGCATTGAGGAATTCTCCCAAGGCAATTTCAAGGAGGGGTCCACGTGTTTGTACTGCTCGTAAAACGAAGTAACAGTTAGGTTCCAGTCATATTTGTCAACTTCAATCTCATTTGTCCCTGAGTTGCTCGCTCCTGCATCAAAATCTGGGCCTGACCCAGACGCAGCTTCTGCATCAGGTTCTCCAAGCTCAAGCCATGGTTCCTGAGGAAACGGTCCTGAAAATCCGAGAGAGTCACCTGGCAGAAATTCATGAAGACGAGAAACATCCTCTGCAAATGAAAAACTGTCTTCAGGCAAAAGTGGAATCAATTCTGGCAAATCTTCAAATCCTCTATCGTCCTCATCTTCAGACAACAGATTTTCCACATCCTCATAATCAACCATGGCTCATACGCGGACCTACCCCCCTGCTCCTTTTTGAAGCTCCAGCTTTACTTTGTAAAGCAAGCCCTCCGCACCCTCCCTTCTTGAACACGTAAATCGCGGTCGAAAGGATGAGACACCCGGAAACTAGGTTTCCTGAAACACGCTATGACCACCCGATTACCTTCGGCAAGTCTAGGTCAACAACCATGCAAGTCCACACAAGCTCGATGTCGAGCAAGAGACCAAGGTGTTACGAGCCCCGTTGTTGTCTGTAAAGAAAGCCACGGGACATTGTCAGATGTCGTTCTGCCCAATCACTGGTGCACTGAGGATGGCAACAGTGCACTTCACATTCAAATATTGTGGCTTTGCGTCTGAATCCTTTGGGGATGAGTTTAAAGCTGAACACATCAAAATGGTTCCAAGATTGACTCTCTGCGAAAATTGTTTGTTTCGGCAAAAATCACAGAAAGTCTTCCTTTGCAGAACATGAGCACCATCAGACTCCTCGGCCAAAAAGTTGCGCACGCTGCGACTTGGTTTTGTGAAAACACACGGACGGCACAGCAGACCTTTTCACAGTCCCGCTCTTGAGCCAAAAGCACGGTAGTCAGCTTTGGGCAAGCGTCTCACGTAGCCAAAAAGAAACAAACGTCTCTGAGTCTCTGACTCTGTGGCTAAGCAGTCAAAAGATCAAGAGAGCTTCTCAAAGCATCTCCAAACTGAAGGAAACAACTACGAAGTCTTCCAAGACCACTTCAAACAATCAAGATGCTACACATAGCAATCACAAACATTCTCCTAGAAATGGTTGAAGCTGTAACCCTTCCAATCACCAAGAAAGGACCCCAGAACACAGAGGGGCACCACTCCACCCTACAGCTTCACACCCCTTCTTGGGTCACTTCTTGCACTACCTCCACGGCTACCTACCTCTTCTGTTTTCTTTCTTTTTCTCTCATTCGCTTTTAACTAAGCTCATTAACTGAGGTTTCAGATGGTCATCAACAACAACGCAACAAGCTTCAAGCCAGTTTCAAGCAACACGGCAAGCAACAAGCATTTTCAAGGATCTCTCAGAACATCAACGGCAGCAACAGGAGTGCTTGGATTGGTCATTAGAAAATCACCATTTTCGCGACGCCACTTTAGCTCTGGGAAAGAAGATCTGTTCATGATGCGCTGTGAAAGGCAAAGCCTCCGATTGAATTCTACAGCAACTGACAATGTCATTCAGACAGGCCGTTAAACTCACCAAACAAAGTGTGAAAGTGTGTGAGGTTGCGAGGTGTGGGCAAATGCAGCAGCTGCGAGGCTTTGGTTCAGCAAAAATCATTTTGCAGAACATGAGCACCATCAGACTCCTCGAATGGTATCCACCGGTCCACCACGGGGCAATCCATGTTCAACCGCAGCAATGGATCTCGAGGCCCCATTTACCTTTTCCATGGCCCGTAGGGTGAAACATGTCACGCTTGCGACCGCGTTGTTGCTTCTTTTGTTTGCTGCCCGAGTAGACCGAAGTCTTACTGCTATAAAGTTTTTGGTGAAGAAGAGGAACAAAAGAAAAGTAAAGGAGTTCTAAAGCATCAAGTCAAGAATGAATTGAGTTATGAGAAGTATGAAGAAACACGAAATGGACGACTGAAAGAAGTTGTATCATTCAAGTAGTGTAAGAAGTAAAAACCATCAAATATACGGCATAAATCAAACAAAATATGCACTGTCCCCATACGATAACAAACGTTACTGGCAAACTGAACATGAAAGCCTACCCTATGGACACTATTTGATACATGGTTTAAAGATATGATAACAGATAAGTTGCTCTTCCCTGGAAGTTCAACACAACGTTCAATCAACTCGTCAACCCGTCGATGCGACGTATCGATGGCGGGCAACGAACCTTAGTTTTTCCAGTCTTGAGCCAAATCAGGTTGGCGTCCAGTGACACAGTGCAACGGCAAAGCCGATTACCGATGATGCAAGTCTTTACATGACAATTCCAGTCTTGGATAAGTGATCCTAGACATCAACTATACATGACGTGTCATCTATACACAAGTGTGCACCTCACTCAAAGCTCAGTTCTTCTTGAGGGCGTTTCTAGCTGAGGGATTTCTTCTCCCCCCTCTGACTCCTGAGCTGCTCGACGGCTTGGGATCAGTTCTGAATCCCGGGCTATCCAGCTGGTTCGGAAAGGTTCTGTGGCACACTGTACGGAGGTATTCTCTTCGGCTTGTGTTTCTGCCGTTTCTTGTACCCTGGCTGGGTAGGGCCTGCCGTGCCCTGAGGTCCTGTCGCTACGTCTGTCGTTGGTGTATCTGGCTGCAATGCCATCTGTTTGTCCAGCTTTAGGCCAGTGCCTGAGGTGTGTTTGATGGTGTATCCATCAAGGTGCACTCCAAGGTTTTGGAGGGTTTTGGGCCATAGTGCAGGCTCCACTGCTTTCGTGAAAGCATCGGCTTTCTGGTCGCTTGTTCCAACAAGGCTCAGTTCCACGTCATCGCGATCCAACTGCTCCTTCACTGAAGCCAAACTCACGCGATGTACGCGTTTGAGATGCCTCAACTTCTTGGAGTATCCAGCAGTCACGACCTTCGCGCATGCAGTGTTGTCTTCGCGAAGCCTCAACAACACAGGACGCCCAAGCATTGCGGAATACAACTCGACCAATGGCAAACCCTCTTCAAAGAGCACATACGACAATGCGACAGTCTCCGCCTCCGTCGTGCTTCGACAAGTAGCCGTCTGTTTCTTCGACAGCCATGCCAAAGGAAACGATGTCCGCGGGCCAGACAACTGTAGCCATCCGCCAGTGGTACTGTGGGTGTGTTCATCGTCTCCGCAGTAGTCTGCGTCTGCGAAAAGTTCAACAAACACATGTTCCGGCGCATCACGCACATGCCCAAGCAACATAGCGTTCTTGGTGCACTCGAGGTAGCACATGGCACGGTACAGGTACGCATCACAAGCTTGCGTCCAGGACTGTACCATGGTTGCCAACCAAGTCACAACTCTCAGCAGGTCGGGACGAGCAAGGCGTGCCAACCACATCAGCCTCATCAGAATGCTGCTGGCTGAAGATGCCAGAGCACCACGCTCTTCTGCTCCAACGAACCCCTTGCTGAGAAACGGCGATGCGACGACTTTCATCTTTGGGCTGTTTGCAACCCTCAGGTATTCTTGAACAGTAGCCTCAGCGTAAGCACGCATGTCAAAGCCAAAGAACTCTGCGTTGTCAACCTCGACAGTGGAGTGGTGTCGACCAAGGAAGCGACCCAACGGTCCAATGTCATCAATCAACACCTTTTCACCCAACGCCTCCCAGAAAGGCTCGTGCCACTGACTTGGTCCTGAGAGAATCAAGTCGTCCACGTAGACAACCAATGCCAATCCTCCGAAGGTGGGGATGGTGAAGGTGGATGCAAACTCTTCAACCTTGACTGCTCCTAAGAGACACAACTGTTCTTCAAGGAACTGTTGCCAATGGGCCCCAGCTTCTGGGTGTCCATATAGCGATTTGCGCAATCTAATGATTGGTCTTTCGAAGCGAGGGTAGCCGCTTGGGGTGAACCAAGACTCAGGCCACAACTCTCTTGGGAGACGGATGTATGTGGCAGCCAAACTCTTCAACTCCGATTGAAGATACGCCTTGACGGCGTCTGCCGACGACAACTTGTGTCCCTCAAAAAAAACAAAAGAGATCACGCTATTGGCTGCAACTATCGACGCAGGAGACGCAGCTAACGTCTGGTAAAGTGCTAGCTTTCCTTCAGCCGTCTTTGCAGAATCACCACGATAGCACACGCGACCTTTCAGAGCACGAAGCTCTGGAGCCAACTCAACGTGCTTCTCGCTGCAAATAGCAAGCAAGTCTGCAATGTGAATCGTCTCTCCACTCTGCAATGCAGCCTCCTTCACGCGGAACTCCTCATCAACCGACTCAAGCTCCCATGTTCCCATGGAACCAACACCATCGAACTCCTTACGGATCGCCTGCAGTGCATCAGGTCGGGACAACACTTCGTTCCGGGTGAGCTGTCTCGTCACCAGGGCATACACCCCAGCCGCGACGTCTTCCGGTGGGACGTACCCTTCGGGAAGCTCATCAGGAGAGTACTCGGGACCTTCGGTGGTCTCCGGCTCAACCCAATGTTCCTTCTCTGCTGCTCCTGTGGAAGAGGAAGAAGAAGTTTTCTCTGAACTCTTAGGCATTGGAAGCGGTCCAGGTGTCTTTGGTGCTCCGACATCTGGCGCCGGTGTAGGGGGCGCTGCAGCTTCTCTAGGGAGATGGCATCAAATCGCTCGCGACATGCCTTGTTGTGGCGGTAGTGACCACCATCACATCCAGGGCAACCCTTCGTAAAACCATGCTCCAACAAACGTGAAAAAGTAATGTATGCATGACGTGGGGGTGCAACTGGGGTATCTTCCGGAAAAGCATCAATGTCAATGTCATATGGGAGCACGCCCGACTCAAGAGATCTGTCATAGATCTTCTTCTTCACCTCAACATCAGGGTCAGACATCTCCTTCAACGCCTTCATTGCCGCGTTGGACAAAGGAAACTCAATGTATTCAACAGGAGGGAAAAACACCTCCTTCTCATGCAAGTCCTTGGGACTCCAATGCAAATGCGCTCTTGCGCGGACAGCTTCATAGTCAACAACTTGTACGACATTGCGGTATCGCAAGCCTGAGTCAATACGCCATCCAGCAAACAAGCCTGGTCTTGTAGTTGGAGCGGCCATTCCATCGCTCTTGGCCCTGTAGAAAACAAGTGCACCAAGAGGGTACTTCACTCCAAGGAAGGGCTCACCTGTGCAAACCTCCCAACGGGTCTTGCCAGTCTTGAGCTCCTCAATCTCCGTCCCACGCTCATGCTTGCGAATCACACAAGGCGACCAAAAGGCACGAGCTTTTGCAGTGTAAACAACGGAGATCGGCCACATCTTCTTGCTGAAGCCGGCCTGGAGATGTGCTGGTCTGCACAACTCTTTCAAGGTCCTCACCTC